TGTTTTCAACAAGCCGATATCTTACAGGTCATGTAAGAAGGCCACCTCAACACTTGGCACACTCATATACAAAATTAACTCAAAATGGATCATACGCCTAAACAAAAGCTAAAATTACAAAACTTCTAAAGGAAATTGTAGGAGGAAATCTGTTAGCTTCAGCTTGGAAGAATAGGACTGACTGCTTATACTGCGTGGGAATGCCCACTCACTCTGTGGTCAGTAATGACTCAGGGTCTGTTCTGAAATCCTCTGGCTGGAGCTAAAGGGAAACTCCGCAGCAAAGCCAGGGATGAGGAAGCTGCTTATCATGGTCATAACCAGGATCAGATGAAATGTGGAATTTCTGCCCAAAGCACACTTTCCCTGGGGAAGCACACTCCGCATGGAAATTCACAAAACTGATTAACTGTGACCAAGTGTAAACAGACTTGAAATGGGAATTTCTGCTTTCAGATACTGGTAAACTGAGACAATTACTACAAAGTAATTGGATGTCAATCTTTCTAGGGCCAACCAAAGTCCTTTTTGCACCAATAAGAACCCAAGCTGGAAACACTCAGCCGCGTGGCCAGGTTTGAGCAGAGGCAAGCTGGGTGATGGTCTTTCTCTTCCTGTCCCCCTTTCTCACTCTCCAAGCCCCTCTCTCCTGACCCTTTTCCTTCTCCACCACCTTTTGATTTCTCCTGCCTCTGCCGCAGGACCTGCTGCACACGAGGCACATCACTCCTGGTCACCCGAGTCAAAGGCTTCATGATGTCGATGCTATGAACCAGACCCTGGTTCTCAGAATGTGGGGGTGCAGTACCATCTGACTTATAACACCCAGGTTTCAGCAAATTTTTGTTTTAGATCAGATGTTTGATCTGATAATAATATGTAGAACTATTTCTGTACTTTCCCATTTCAGTGACCTTTATAAATATCCTTTGGCCAATATTCTCCATAACTACAGCTTTTGGGAAATAGTTTTGAAGTCAGGTGGTTTAAGTCCTTCAACTTAGTTTTTTTTTTTGTTTAAAATTATTTTAGCTTTTACTAAAACTGAAGAGAGTGAAGTGGCATGGAGAAGAAAGGACAGAGTCATTTCCTGGTGACTATGAGGAATATTTCATTATTGTCACAGCCAGACAATAAGAATCTGTCATCAGCACCCAGGGGTGGCGTGCTCCTGTACCGTGCATTCCGCTAGGGGTTTTATGGGTTTGGTCTTGAATACTCATGAAACTTGTAGCAGGTCCATGAGAAATGGATTCAGAGAGGTTAAATAATTTGCACAGACACACAGAACTAAAAAGTAAAGGGTCAATATTGTTTGGTACAAAACCCACTCCAGGCTGTTTCAGTGTCCCCTGGAGGAGGCTACATTATCAGAAAGACCTGCAGTGGGAATGCCAAGAAGCCTCACACTCTGAATCTTCCCAGAAAGACAGAGAGTTATGTATTTTCTTTTTCCACACCCACAAAAAGATCATTGAATATTTCAGAGTTACGACTTCAGACTATTTGCAAAGGATTTTATGTCATACTTTTGTTACCTATCTAAAAAAAAAATGTAAGCACCATTTATAACTATTGGGCCAGATGTGTCCAAAAGCAGCTGGAAATTTTCATTTTCTTCTTGCAGCTTAAAGATGAAGATCAGATCATTTAATATGGTTGACCTTTAAATATGTTAGGTTATTCAATGCCGGGAAGTATAGATGAAGCAAAACCCAGGTCATTTATACCTGATCAATTCAAACTATCATGAAGAATCGGACACTTCCCTTCATTCTTAACTACACTGAGAGAAGTTTCTAGGGTGTTCAGAATCCTCTAATTTAAACCCCCTTTATTTGGACTCTTCTCGCAGAAACTACCTTCTGCTCTTTTTGGTCTTTGATGCCACCTGACTCCACAGGTGTGGCCTAGCATGGAGAAGGTCTCAGCTGGACTCCTAAATCACCTAGTCCACTTAAGTAGCTAGATCAGGAAGAAAGAAGTGAGTTACCACTGTTTTCACTTGATCACAACTGCAAGCAGGAACCTACCAAATATCCCACAGTAGGAAAAACCCAGTGTGGCTCAAACAAACGCTTTTGCTTGGGGGCCATTTGGCACCAAAATGAATAGTTGGCTAAGCAAGGAATCTGGAAGTCCAAGTTTTAACCTATGGAAAATAAAACCTTGCCTGCAAATGGCATTTGCTGATCAGCAATCACCTTGTGGTTCTTAAACCAACAGTAAAAAGGCCTCCCACTGGAAACTACCATTAGCTGGAGACATTATCATGTGAGTCTGAATTTAATAAAAATGACTTCCTTGTAACTCTAAGCTCTGTACTTTTCCTAGGGTCTGATCTGCCCCTGGTTACTGAGGCTTGGCCAGAAGCACCATGCCTGCTACGGACCAGCTTCCCATGACTTCTGAAAAGATGTCTGTGTGTCTCTTACCGAAAATGGTGCTCCATCGACCCTGCATAACTCCTGTTGCGGCACCTCGACCCGCTGTTGCAAAGAAGGCCTTGGACAAAGGGGAACACACCCCGACTGGGCAGATCCCGAGCTTGCAAATAACCTGGATGTACATGCAAAGAAGAAATGAGTCCATACAGCTGGTAACAGAAGGGGAAAACCTATAGAGTTAGGATCATAATATGCAATATCATGTTGTTGTGTTACTAATCCTGTTATTAATTGAAAGGAAATCTGGGCATGGAAAGCAAGGAAGGAAAGAAGGGAGGGAGGGAGGGAGGAAGAAAGAGAGGGAGAAGAAGGGAGGAAGGGAGGAAGAAGCAAGCAAGAGAAAGGAAAGGCAGGCAGGCTGGGGCCCTTTATACCTCCCTGTCCTGGGCCTGCACTCATGCGTCTGCTCAGAAGAGCTGGGCCTGGCCACAGAGCTGTGTGCTTCCCTCTCCCTATCTCCCTGTTCAAGGAGTGGCAATATCCCTATCACCCAGCCAGACCTGCAGACACAGACCTTATAAACAAGCTGTGGGCAGGAAGACCAAGAACAATACTTCCCATATTCATATAAAAATGTAGGAGTTTTTAGTTTTGGAAAATTTCTCAAATCAATACACCTTGGATTCTTGCAGGTTTAAGTGTAGTTGCTAAAGATCATGTAATGCAAAGTTTCAAAAATCTGGTTGGGATCCAAGGTGTCTCAGCACAACTGCTGCCACAAAAGGCTCCTCACTGGATAAACTCTTGGGTCTGCACACGCTCGCTGTCTGCCCTCCGCACCACAACCCGGGAGGACATGGTCGGGCTGTAGGGGACAGCAAGGGTCTTGGGAGTTACTAATTTAACTGGTTGAGCTCCTAAATCTTTGGCAAAAGGCTTCCCACTTGAGTCTGGTTTGTCTGGGACATGGTCTTATTCTCCACAACTCGGATGATCGCTGTGCCCAGAATTCAATACAATGCTCCACACTGTGTGGGGAATGAATGAACCAGCCAATGTATGAACCTACAGACGACTGAGGGCATGACTGAATGAAAAATAAATAAGTGTATAAGTTAGTAGGCTTTTAAGTTAAAGGGGCAATGGAGTTCTTAGCTAACATGTGGCCCAGTGCACCAGGGTAGGAAAGTAGAGAGATTTGGTCTCATCCCAGCCAGTATTAAAAGGTGTGTTTCCCTAGTATGATTTCAGTGTCCCACCTCCCTCAGGAACATGCTGGGGATAGTAATCACCACAGTGGGGTGTTCAGTGGGTCAGAGATTGAGGACTAGTCCTGGATGCACTTTATCTCCAAGACCGAAGATCTGGCATGATGACATGAGGCCACACCTGGACAACAGGAAGGGAGAGGTGGGGGAACAGACGTCTGTCTGTCATCTCCTCTGGGTACCTGTGCTAAGTACATGCTCATGCCTGATTTCCTTTCTTAGTCCTTGGGGCAGCCTGGAGGCAGGTGAAATCAGCTGTCCTTACGGAAAACCTCTATTCTGTGTGGCACAGTCTCTCACGAAGGTTAGGCCTCCAGCCCATGCACCTGGTGGTCCTTAAATGATTTTGGGTCCTGGACCCCTTTGAGACTCTGGCAAAACCTTCTCTCCCTTAAGAATGCTCACCTGTGCCAACCTCTGAAGCATTTCTGGTGTTTCTCTAGGCTACACTCTGGCTATGAGCTAAGAGCTGCCTAAATGCTTAAGGAATGGGTGTCACCTTTTAAGATGAGGAACATCATAAGCTGCTTTTCCCACATGGCAGGGCTGAACCAGGACCCCACTGTACTGTAGATCTAATGCTCTAGTATTTACAACTAAATCATTCAAAATGTTTTACTGGCCACTATTGACTTGGGTCTTTGCCCTGGTCCTTATGCCACACTGTCCACTTGTGACATGAGAGCTGCCACCCCCCATTTTACCCTCCAGCAGCATCCCTGTTATTTCTCCTGCCCAATGAGCCAGGTTTCTACCATCTACCCTTCCATTCACTCTTCATGCCACACAGCTGGCCCCTCTCTGTCCTATCCTCCCAAGGAAACACCCTGGGCAATGTCACCAATCCCCTGATGGGGACATGTCAGGCCCCCTCCTACCTGCATAGCAACTCTCCGTGAAATCTCCCCACACAGACTGCACAGCCTTTCCACCTCCTGCCCCCAACTGGCCTCACAGTAGGAAAAACCCAGTGTGGCTCAAACAAACGCTTTTGCTTGGGGGCCATTTGGCACCAAAATGAATAGTTGGCTAAGCAAGGAATCTGGAAGTCCAAGTTTTAACCTATGGAAAATAAAACCTTGCCTGCAAATGGCATTTGCTGATCAGCAATCACCTTGTGGTTCTTAAACCAACAGTAAAAAGGCCTCCCACTGGAAACTACCATTAGCTGGAGACATTATCATGTGAGTCTGAATTTAATAAAAATGACTTCCTTGTAACTCTAAGCTCTGTATTTTTCCTAGGGTCTGATCTGCCCCTGGTTACTGAGGCTTGGCCAGAAGCACCATGCCTGCTACGGACCAGCTTCCCATGACTTCTGAAAAGATGTCTGTGTGTCTCTTACCGAAAATGGTGCTCCATCGACCCTGCATAACTCCTGTTGCGGCACCTCGACCCGCTGTTGCAAAGAAGGCCTTGGACAAAGGGGAACACACCCCGACTGGGCAGATCCCGAGCTTGCAAATAACCTGGATGTACATGCAAAGAAGAAATGAGTCCATACAGCTGGTAACAGAAGGGGAAAACCTATAGAGTTAGGATCATAATATGCAATATCATGTTGTTGTGTTACTAATCCTGTTATTAATTGAAAGGAAATCTGGGCATGGAAAGCAAGGAAGGAAAGAAGGGAGGGAGGGAGCGAGGAAGAAAGAGAGGGAGAAGAAGGGAGGAAGGGAGGAAGAAAAGGGAAGGAAAGGAAGCGAGGAAGAAGCAAGCAAGAGAAAGGAAAGGCAGGCAGGCTGGGGCCCTTTATACCTCCCTGTCCTGGGCCTGCACTCATGCGTCTGCTCAGAAGAGCTGGGCCTGGCCACAGAGCTGTGTGCTTCCCTCTCCCTATCTCCCTGTTCAAGGAGTGGCAATATCCCTATCACCCAGCCAGACCTGCAGACACAGACCTTATAAACAAGCTGTGGGCAGGAAGACCAAGAACAATACTTCCCATCTTCATATAAAAATGTAGGAGTTTTTAGTTTTGGAAAATTTCTCAAATCAATACACCTTGGATTCTTGCAGGTTTAAGTGTAGTTGCTAAAGATCATGTAATGCAAAGTTTCAAAAATCTTTCAATTCAATGCTCTGCCAGCACAAGAGCATCATGCCTACATATTCACCTTACTGCGGCCTGCCTGAAGCCCTGCAGAGGCTCCACAGTGCCCTTTAGGAGTTCGCCAGCCTCAGCACCATACAGAACCACTGACTGATCTGACCCCGCTTTTCTCCAGCCAGATCTCCGCCTCTCAGCTCCATACTTCACCGCGCTGTCTGCCTGCCTCCAGCATTCCTCCCCCGCACGCCCTCATTCTGACAGTTTTACACTGTTGATTCCTCCCGAAGCCCTTCCCTAGAGTGGATCGGCCAACCTCCTGGGCACTTACGCGGCCCCCATGACAGAACCCCACCGGGATGCTTTCCCATTGCGCTGTAATAGTCTGGCCCTGCAATGAGTTCTGTAGGGGCAGGGGAAATACTTTGTCCACCACTTTATCCTCAGCAAGGCTTGGGACACAGAAGGCGCTCAGTACATATTTGCCGAAGGAATTAATATTCTGGATAGTGACACAGCATTTTAGATGAAGCCCATCCCTTAATAACCCTTTATTCTTGTAACATTTTCACAATTAACCACATTACCAATATTTCAAGTGGCATAAGTCTAATAGAAACAATACAGGCCATTCATTTCTCAAGGAGCAATGCTGTTGAGGTTTCAAACCAGGTAAACAAAAGGGTCTTTCTGATAAAGCTCCTGGAGCAGAGGAAGTTATTAATAATGTTTTATCAGTACATCACCACCATCACTGCCGTCATCACCACTATCATTACTATCATGACATCAGCATAATCTTATCATCACTCCCTCACCACCACCATCATCTCCACCATCAGCATCACTGGCATCACTGACATTATCACTATCACCATCATCACTACCATCACCACCTTCCTCCTCCCCTCCTCGTAGTCACCCTCCCCACCGCCACCCTCACCATCACTGCCATCAGCATCATGTTGGTGTACTGTGAAATGTACTCCCACCTCTGCCTCTTCCTCTGCTCTTTCTATATGTGTAACAACACATATACCTATGCCCAAATCAAGGTAGTTTAGTCCAAAGAATAAATCTGTCTGCTACATTGAGCAGATGTATGTGAATATCATTATTAGGAGAAAAAAACAACGTAGTGATGCTTACAGGCACATATCCCAGACATAGGTGTTGTGATATCATACTGGAGCCCTACCAGTTCATTCCACTCAGAATTCAAAGTTTATAAAGAGGAAAGGCTGCTGCTTTTTTTCCTCCAGAGGTTTATAATTCAAAGAAGGTAATAAAAAGTAAAACTTACAATTGTCTCTATGTCTGGGAGGTTCCTGAAAACGAAGCACTGTCAGAATCATGAACAGGATACATGGCCAAAAGAATTCAGCAAGGGAAAGAACCTGAGGAATTTGACAGAAAAAACAAATGAGTGCTTGAGTAAACTGCAAAGCATGACAATATCTCCATCTCTTGAAGGATGCTATGAAGGCCAGGTCAGGCCTCCTTTAAAAGGGGTCATTGTTACCATTGCTGTCTGCACACAGACACAATCTGAGAATAATCTTTTGAGACAAGGTTCCCCAGAGAAGGTTCCAGTTCACTTGTCACCATATCCAGATCTATGACCATGTCAGCTCCTGCACTCCTCCCACCAGACTTGGCCTCTGCTTCTTCTCTTGTTTATACAATTTTTATGTATTATAGACTTTATGACACTAAAGAAATTGAATGAATAAATAACTTCGTCCTATTTCTCACACTCCGACAAATTAACTATTTCTATTTTTCTAATTTCTTCAACATTGCTGACTTTTCCATCCAAGTAGAGATCTCCCCCAGAGTTGGTAGTGGCACACACCTTCATTTGATGAATATTTTCTAATGTTGCTACATGAGGTTCATAAATATCATCTTACTGATTGCACGACATTCTTACCAAATGGATATATCATGATTCACATTCTTCTATCAATGAATATTTTTTGTGTATAAATAATGTTTCCTTTGAACTACCTTTTTGAGATTGGCACAGACCCCCTAAAACTCAGATCATTGGAGCCAGATCTCTTGACACAGACTACAAAAGGACTGCCTGCAAAGATTGCAATACTCTGCCTAACCCTGACTTGTCAAAGTCAGAAGAGGGGGAACTTCCATTGATGCCTGAAAGTTAGTTTTGTGGGAGAGAAACACCCAAGAAAGAGCCTGATGAAAAATTAACAGAATTTTCAACAGTCACAAGATTGTTTTTTTGTTGTCATTCTTCACTTCTTTTTGTGGTGGATAATGTTTTATTACTGATTTTATGTCATTCCACAAACACAGAAGTTTATCACCAGACACAAAAGGACCAGGCATTCAACAATGCACAAACAAATATCTGAAAATCTGCAGGTTAAGAAGTTAAGAACACTCAGTCTAACACTAAAGAGGGTGTCATACTATTTCAGACTCCAAGTTATACACTTTGAACTAAAATGAGCTTCTCATCACTTTAGTTCCTTCACTCTTTAAATGGCTATGACCATCCCCACCTACCCCAATTCTTCCCTGCCAGGTCTGGCACACAGATCTAAATGTGACCAGGTGACCACATGCAGCCTGAAACTGTAAAGACAAAACACAGGTGGAAAAGATGCCAATCCTGATGTGATTAAGGAAGAAAGGAAACCACCCTCTTTGAAATAGTTCATGAGGAAGCGGTTTTTTGTGCCAGGAGGTACAGCATTATGAAAAATCCTCCATCCAAGTGCTGAAATCCAATATCATACAACCTGATAACAGAGAAAGCATCCACAGGAATTCACCCTCTAGCTCAAAGGATCATAATTAAACCAGAAAGAAAGGTCAAGAGCACTCAGAAAACCACAATCTATTTAAGTCATTTTGTTCCTTTTCTGTAAAAAATTAATAATTTCTTCAAGTATGGGGTATGGATGTAGTGGGAAAGATTCCACAATTAATTATGGCTGAATATAAATGTGAAAAAATATAGAAAGTATACCTATCATGAGTTTTCTGTACATGTTTGGCTGACTTATAGGTATAACTATGAGGGAACATTTCTAAATGAGATTACTAGTCAAAGTGTATGCAATTTTTAATTTAGATTTTTAATTTGGATAGATATAATCACATGCTCTCAATAACAGCAAAACCAGTCATTACTCATGCCAATCACACTCTCAATACCATCTGAGGTTAACAGACTTTGGTTGAACTTTTTGTCAAACTGATATGTAAAAAAAAAATAACATTTCTTTAATTATTAAGATAAAGCATTTTTCGTAAGTATATAATAATTCCTTGTAAACTCCTTATTCTTCTCTGTGCCCATTTTTCTATTAAATTGGTTTTTTACTGGATTGCAAATTATTGTTTCTTGTTTTTCTTTTCTAATTAAAATTAGGCCCTTTGTTGGTTTTAAGTATTGCAAACATTTCCCTGATGTATTATTTGCCTTTTTTTTTGTGAAAATCTTTGATGCAATTTATCAGTCTTTTTATTTACAGCATTTAGATTTTTTTTCCTATACATAAGGGACACTGTAATTCAAGGGACCTTGTCAAGTCAAAATTAAAATTGGTAGAACTGTTGAATTACAAATATTTATGAATCTAATTATAAAATAAATGGCAAATCTCCAGTTTCAACTTGCTTTAAAATAACTAGCTTTAAAAACACTACCTCTGTACCAACAGCATTCTTCAACAAACTAGAGAAAATAGTTCTAAAATTCACATGGAACCACAAAAGACCCTGAATAGCCAAAGCAATCTTGAAAAGGAAGAATAAAGCTGAGGGGATTACACTCCCCAACTTCAAGTTCTACTACAAAGTCACAGTAATCAAAACAATTTGGGATGAAGACAAGAACAGACCCATAGATCAATGGAACAGAATAGAGAGCCCAGATATAAACCCAAGCATATACAGTCAATTAATATACGATAAAGGAGCCATAGACATACAATGGGGAAATGACAGCCTCTTCAACAGCTGGTGTTGGCAAAACTGGACACTTCCATGTAAGAGACTGAAACTGGATTATTGCCTAACACCATACACAAAAGTAAACTCAAAATGGATCAAAGACCTGAATGTAAGTCATGAAACATAAAACTCTTGGAAGAAAACATAGGCAAAAATCTCCTGAATATAAACATGAGCAATTTTTTCCTGAACACATCTCTTTGGGCAAGAGAAACAAAAGCAAAAATGAACAAATGGGACTACATCAAACTAAAAAGTTTCTTTACAGCAAAGGACATCATCAGTAGAACAAATAGGCATCCTGCAGTATTAGAGAATATATTTGTAAACAATTTATCTGATAAGGGGTTAATATCCAAAATATATAAAGAACTCACATGCCTCAACACCCAAAAAGCAAATAACCTGATTGAAAAATGGGTTGAGGATCTGAACAGACATTTCTCCAAAGAAGAAATTCAGATGGCCAACAGGTACATGAAAAGATGCTCCACATTATTAATTATCAGGGAAATGTAAATTAAAACCACAATGACATATCACCTCACAACAGTAAGGATGGCCAACATTCAAAAGACAAGGAACAACAAATGCTGGTGAGGATGCAGAGAAAGGGCAACCCTCCTACACTACTGGTGGGAATGTAAATTAGTTCAACCATTGTGGAAAGCGATATGACATTCCTCAAAAAACTAAAAATAAACATATCATTTGACCCAGGAATTCCACTCCTTGGGATTTACATGAAGAAAACAAGATCCCAGATTCAAAAAGACATATGCACCCCTATGTTTATTGCAGTACTATTTACAATCGCAAAGATATGGAAGCAACCTAAGTGTCCATCAATAGATGAATGGATAAAGAAGAGGTGGTATATATACACAATGGAATATCATCCAGCCATAAGAAGAAAACAGATCCTACCATTTGCAACAACGTGGATGGAGCTAGAGGGTATTATGCTCAGTGAAATAAGCCAGGCAGAGAAAGACAAGTACCAAATGATTTCTCTCTTGTGGAGTATAACAACAAAGCAAAACTGAAGAAACAAAACAGCAGCAGACTCACAGAACCCAAAGAGAGACTAGCAATTATGAAAGGGAAGGGGGTTGGGGAGGGTGGGTGGAGAAGGAGGGAGAAGGGGATTAAGGGGCATTAAGATTAGCGCACATAATGTAGGGGGGTCACGGGGAAGGCAGTATAGCACAGAGAAGACAAGTAAATCTATAGCATCTTACTAAGCTGATGGACAGTGACTGCAATGGGGTGTGTGGAGGGTGGGCTTGATAATATGGGTGAATGTAGTAACCACAGTGTTGCTCATGTGAAACCTTTATAACATTGTATATCAATGATACTTTAATAAAAAAAACACTACATCTGTAGTTGAGAGGTATCTTTGAGGATCTTGAAATAAAAACAAAATCCCAATTAAACCTAAAAAATAATCTGTTTTTTATTTACAAGCCAATCACTGAGCCCTCTGTAAAGCACTGGTAGGAAAATCTTCCATTGTTCTGAATTTCAAATTACTGCATTCGAAAAAGAAATATATCAAGGTCCCCAGTTCTGCTGTGCCATTGTCCATTATAAGACTATGAATCACCTCCTTTCAGGAGACTGCTTCTCTGCAGGTATGCAAAAGCAGTCTTGTCTTTCCCATCACATTTTTGCATCATGTTTTTCTTCTCATGTGTCATTATTATCCTTAAATCTTGTTTCACATTTTTAATCTTATCCTTGATAAGTGGGAATGCTATCTGGTTAAATTTGTGTTTCCCTACATCTCCCACACCTCAGGCCCCCTAGGAGTGGCTTCTCAACACTAGAAAGGGCACAAGGAAAAATAGACATTAGTGCAGGCCAAGGGCAGCCAGGAGTTCATGCTGGGAACCCTGCTCCTGAGAGAAACAACCATCTGGTAAACAAACAAGTGCTTGCAGAACCATAGCCACCCTTCCAAACAACCACAGCACCCTCCCTCCCAACAGTCCCAGGAGGGAAGCGCCCACCAAATGGCAAAAGTGTCCAGCACCACAGCCCCAGATTTCACATCCCAAGTACCCCTTGCCATGATTTTCTTGGATGCCACTTGCTCAGTTCCTTCAGCACAACTGAGATACAATAACATTTGGGGAGACCTTAATAATACATACACACAAATATGTCCATAAAGGGCCCCTGGGTAAAATGACATATTGAAACTTCCTCATAAACGTTTTCTTCACCCAGACAACATGAAAAGGGAAAAAAGAAAAGAAATTAGACAACCTGTCTTCACCTAACACAAAAAACTACAAAAATGTCAAGAAACAAGTGTCTAGAGCAGATCGAGCCAGCCCACCATGGCTCAGTCCTAACTCAGCCCAGAACCTCCAAAGCTCGCACCCCCAGGGGGACCCCCATACCTGATGAGCACCCTGAAGGGATTTCCTTGTCTCCTTCCTCTAACCGAAGAGTCGAGGAAATTGCTGCTGGGAATGATCACATGAAACATGGAAGATGAACAATGAGGCTGACTGCTGAAGAAGCTTCTAGGGCTTCACACAATAATGTGAAAAGAATCTAAAGTTGGAGAATAATTCCCCCAACTACATGGAGTGAATATGGTATAAAAGATTGAACAAAATTTC